GTTTGGATAATTCATTTAATAATTAATATATAGTTAACTGGTCAGCTACCTAGTTACTTAGTTAACTAGACAATTATTTGACTCGTTAATTGATAAGATGCTTGGTTATACACCTCGCTGACTACACAATAAATAGTTTTCTTACTCATCTAGATGGCCTCTTGTACCTCCTGAGGTGATTAGTCAGCTAGGTAGTTAATTGTACGTTAATTAGGTGCTTGTTCAGTCATGAGCCGCGACGTGTTTTTCTCAGGATTCTCCCAAACTACGTTCAGTATTGGGCACCCTTGGATTAGAAAGTAAGAGTGAGGGCACAGGGCGGCTAGCTCTAGCACCAGCTGTGGCCCTCGTACCTTCATTTCATTTGGGTGTTGGCCCCTCAACAGTTGTAAATGTTGCAGCTCGTTGCTAGGGCAACAGTGGGCTACGTTGCTATGGTAAATTCGACAGCAATATATACGTCGAACACAGGCGCTGTCCGTCTTCACTACGCTCATGAAATCTCCGTCCGAATCAGATTATCGTACCGTCCCTTAACAACACGGTCTGCAAATGAACAATGGTAAACTGCGATGCAAGTGCGACGGTTCGTTTAAGCTCTTCGTGTCAGCACCCGAAGAGTTCACTGGCTTGCAATTATGTTTGAGACAAACGTGTCGGACTCCGGAAATGTCACAAGTAATGAGATTTACTATTTCTTCTTTCTTCACAAGGATCTGGTTCTTTGAATCACATTCAAGTTAATTATCTGTTTCATTCTAGCTATTCCTGTATGTTTTCTAAAAGGCGCGCGTGTGTATGTGAATTTACGAATCCTGTTTTTAAATCAGTTGCCTTTAAACCGAATGACCAACAAGTGTTCGGTAATTCAGAGCGTAATATTGATCGACCTCTAAAGAAAACAGTAGTGATGTAAACAAATGGTCGCACGAATCTGAAGAGATTATGTTACGTACCAGATATTCCAAGGCCGTGTGCTCCTTACATTTCAAATAGTAAAATAATTGTTTTAGTAATTATAATTCCTATGTGCATCTACCGCTTCAGCCACATTTATCAGACCAAGAAGTGATGTTGCAATGTCTCGGTCCGATGATGGAAAAGTCCTCCGAAGAGACTAAGCTCCTTATTGTTATGTGGGGTGGAACAGGCCCTGTCATTGTATGGAGATGATGTCTGTATCATGATGGTACGCCTGTAGATACCCTACTTACGCCGGGACCTTGGGTTGTTTCTGTATTGACAATGTACAATTGAAAGCCCTCCAGTCCAAGAGGCGTATTCCATAACGTCAAGGCAGCGATATTCTCCATAGGGCTCATTATCTCACAATGTCGGGATAATTCAGCCAGTAGGGTGACTATGTGGGATAAGCGACCAGGATTCGATTCACGGGAGAGGCAGGGATTTTATCAACACCGGCTCCTGAGGTGCAGCCAGTGTTTTGTCTCATAGGTACGAAGACCTTATTCAAATGCGGCCGGAGCGCATTTCATTGTGGTAACCCAGCAAACAAGCGGCCATCGTATTACAATACGAATACACCTTTTTGGGACACACTGTATTTGTATTGGCTCACACGGTACACAGATACATTATCATTCCCAGCAATGTTAGACATACACCGTTGTTTCGTTGTTTGGAAACTGTTTCATGCAAAATACGATCAGTATGAGGTATCACGACTATAAATAGCAGAAAATATTTGTGATGTCACGACCTTTCAATTTTAGAATGATTTACGTTAAGAGAAACCCGGGCAATGAACAGGCATTTCCTGTAATCTGTTGAGTGGCTTGCTTCATCATGTAAGCTGAACGCCCCCGTGTGATGTAATATGTCAACTGGAAGGACCGAGCAGAAGCGAAATGAGCCTTAAGACGATTATATAAAGACGCGAGTGGAGAAAGCACTTTCTTCTAGAACCGACGTATCACGTTTACATACATGGCGTGCTATCAGCCTGGAGCGTCTACAAACACATTTTATCGACGAAATACCCTTTCTTCAATCTGTTACGTGTATTCTCCCTAGACCCAATTTACTTCGAATGTGCTTTAAGAATCTGTGACTCAAAACAATGGGGGGGGGGGGGGGTCCGGCCAATGGGGTATTGTGCGACTTTTTTGTAAGCGAACGTGTTACGAAGAATCTCGGGAGAAAAATTCTGTGCTTTTGTCAAATGTGTATCACTTACTGGTACTAGTTGTAAGTACTAAAACATAAATTAACCTTATCGTCGCGGACCGATTGAACTGTGACCCACATGCGGTAGTTCGCTCATCCCTACGTGTGGACTTGCAGTAAGTTTAATATTTCACTCCATTTTATTAAGAATTAATTATGTTTATTAGGAAGTCATCTTCGGTTTCGACAAATCTCATCTAAACAGAATTTGAAATTCAGTTTCTACCCGAAGGAAACACAGAACGTATTCATTACAAAGATCAATTAGTTAATGATGCTTATGAAAAGTATCGCCCTGCATTCTGAGAATCACACCAAGCCCATAAACATAGACCTACGTTATAGGAAAAATGCAGAGGTACGTTGTATAATGTATATAGTTTTAACTGTGCTTCCTCTAAACAAATAACCGTAAAAATGGCGTACAGTTCGCGAGGCTGCAGTCACGTTTTTTATTTGGAAACCGTTCCCTTCGTTTCAACTTTCGAGGCACAAACGTAGCACACGGTAGAATAACTTGTTAGCTTCTGCCTTCTGATTTCTTCATGTCCGTCTGTAACCTAGTGCAGCAGACTGTCTGACGAAGAAGATCTCATGACTCGATATTTGTAATTAACTTTCGGATTGTTGTTGGAACATTCATTACCTTTCACCATACTTTTTGATTAATTGAGAATTACGACGTGCAGAAATATGCAGTTGCTTCCCCCACAAAAAAAAAATATTCCCCAGTTTATTAAATTGTTACAAAGTGAACTGACAGAAATAAGGACGAATTCAATTATCGGCACTTTCATCTGTTGTTACAGTAACTGTGTCTTTTATATAACAACAGCACAGGATGTCCCATATGTCACGCACCAAAGGAATTTTATTGGAGGCGGCTTTCACTTGTTTCTTCATGTGCTCGTGTTTTCCGTTGTTGAGAGGGCGCGACTCTTGGATTGTCGTCAGAATCGACATGTCCCCTACAGCTGGCACAGGACACACAAAAAAAAAGGTGCTACCGGGTTTTGAACCCGGTTTGCTCGGCAGAGTACCAGACTTGCTTCAAGGTTTCCACGGAGCCCTTTATTGTGTGTGACCGACCTTAAAAGACTGACAACTGAAGATGACTGTGTAGTCTGGTTGAAGTTTACGAACGTTTTAGAGATCCTTGCTGCCTCCATCATCAGGACCGAAAATATTTGTAATGGGGTTGAGACACTGCTTTGTGAACATTATATTTAGAATCACGTTCGGTGCCTCTTAATTCAACGGACGACATTTTGCAGTTTTTCGAAACTGTCTTAAAGTATTAAGTTAGATTTAACCATAAACATTTCGCATTGAGCAGTAAAATAAATTAATTAAAATGATTACGTAGCAAAAAAAGCTTCCGTAGTTTTATTCCGAGGTCCCCTGTAGATCAGGATGTAGGACGCCTGTATCTGCAGAGGTGAGAGAAGAAACCCTTGGCTCAGCCGTGCGAAACTAAAGGACGCAGAACGTAATCACGTTTGCATGATATTACAATGAGAAACGGGTGGTCTGAAGGCATAACCAGTATCGTACAGTCATCCACTTCGACAAACAGAACCTGCAGCAAGGCCACAGTTTCTTGATGTTTTATTACATGTAACGCGTTATGTGGGCGTCCTGTCTGTCTGTCTGTCTATCCGTCACCCTCTCTAGCCTACAGATTTCTCTTATGATGTGTTTCTTTATTCACGTATTGGTTTCTGACGTCCCCTGTAAACAGTTACAGTTCCAAATCCTAGCTGCAGCATTCGGGCAAGGACACTGCCAGTAACGGAATCTGTGACCTGTTCTTTATTCAGGAGTGAAATTAATACAGCGTTTAAGTGAACCGGAGCGTACCACCTCATGACATTTCCAGAACGTTATTCATCTTGTGGATGGTCCATTCTCTTTTACAAACGCCACGACTACTAGTCATTGGAGTAAAAGTGGCATAAGGTGCTATACTATAATCTGATTTGTAGTTGAACACAGATTACAGTCGTAATGTGCTTCCTTCCCTGTAAAACAGTTATGCGGTTTAAGAGACTTCAGGTTCGGGAAAATGGACGGCAATGGAAGTGATTGTCTTTTCGCACAGTCATGTTTGAGGGACGTGAGATTCTCTCGCAACGCCTTGACCCCTGCCCGTTCCACAGTGTTCAGCTCTGTCGTCATCAGCAATTTTTAACTACATCTGACACCAACAACGTGGATTCTGCAGGAGGAATTGTGATGATTTGATGCAATGTGAATGTGACGTGACATATTGACTTTCTGGCCCAAACCCACAGGAGTGCACTGATTTTCATTAAGCGCCCGACATCTACAATACAAGCAGCAATGGCGAAAGGACACATAGTATTCACGTCGTACATAATGAGGAGTTTCACAATTTCTACTCTTCACTTGCTATTGTTATGGTAATTAAATCAATTAATCATGTAATGGGCGAGGAGTGTAGCACGTATTATGGAGATGAGAAATGTTTACAAAATATTATCGGGACCCCAATGGAAGAGTCCACTTCCTAAACTGCTCTCATCTGTTCCCTTACTGTTACACTGTATTTTAGTAGAACATTAATTGTTTATTAATACATATTTACTGCTTAAAATTACCTTAAATTCATTTAATTGAAATGAAGGGAAGCCATTGCTTTAGGGCAGCATTTAAGTACGTATTAAGAACACAATTAGGAAGGCGGGCTGAGGGAAAGACTACCAGTACGCCTAAAAGTCACATAACATTTACGATATCTCGTTTCATGTTTCCATATGTGATTGCTTCATGGTAGCGTGAGATGCACTTACCTGAGGAAGACTGGTTGTCCAGGTACTGCGGGTCAGATTCCCTGTCTTGGCCGTCTGGACTCGGGGCATGGTCCGACCCAATTCCACTGGAACCACCGCTTGATCCATTAACTCTTCCAGCTTGGCCAGAAACGTTAGTTGTACCACCGGCCTTGTCAGTCACCTGACTTCCGTTCTCAGCAAGATTACGCGTATTCTTCACGTTCACTCCGACAATATTTGCGTTAAGACATCGTCGCAAGTCGATGGCTGTCAAATTTCCTTTCTGGCGATGTACCGTGTCATAGTCCCTGGGAGGGAGCAATATTGGAGCGTGGTGACGTACTTTCCCCTCACCTCCAGAACCAAGTTTCTCCCTGAGTTCCGCCGCCAAAGAATCATAGAGGTTAGCAATCCTTTCTTGTTGACCTCCAACACCACTCAGACGTTCCGAGGAGGAACCTCCTGAAGATTCGGATTCCCTCGTACTTGAACTTCGTCCATCGGAACCTCCTCCGCTGTGGACACGTCTAGCTGAAGAGGAGGTGGGGATTGGACGTGAGGATTGTGTGGGGGGTGGCAACAGGAGTCCTTTAGCTCTGAGCCTCGTCTCAATTTCACCAAGTTTCTTTTGATTCTCTGGACGTTCAATCAGAGTTTGTAACTGTCCTCTGAGGATCTCTGCAGTTTCTACAGAATCGCATCGATAAGCATGGACATGCACAGGACATTTAGTGACAGGATTGTAAAGTAAAAGGATGCATGACACGATATCCTCATCTTGCAAGACACAGGTCACTGCGTGGTGCGGAATAAAATGCTTTATAACTTCTGGTTTACTGCTCTTACTAGAGGGTTTTGCCCCAGCTGCAGCGGCTGCTGGTGGAATGTTCTGGATGATTTTCAGTCCTTTGTGACTGACTTGAAGGGTGACTTTGAAGGGCTCGATATCACGCTCTCGCTGGACTAGGCTCTTGACTACGGGATGCATGTACTCGGCACCGCGTAGACCTTTGGATTCCTGGGCTCCCAAAAACCAAACGTAATACGATGACTTTTTAATGTCTTTCCTCATTCTTAATGCCATTACTTTTCCGTCAACCAGAAGGGAAATCGGCCAACACTATGACTTTGATCTCGTAAACATTTTATCTTTCATGTATGTAATTTGTTCCAGATGTCCATTATTTTATGTTCCAAGTAATCATCATCGTTTTTACTTTTTGCGTCCTCCCAAAAAATCAACTACCCTTATTCTTCAAAGTTTTGCGTCCTCCCAAAAAAATCAACTACCCTTATTCTTCAAAGTAGTTTTTGTATCCAATCCCGCGTCATATAACTCTAGAACGTAACTCTTGTTATTTTTCAAGCCCATAACGTATCATGCCCTTAGAAAATGTACAAACTTTTTCCCTGTTTCACATAATCTTTTTTCAGGGAATATCAATATAACTAATCACGAAAATCAACACTTCGTAACAAACCTAACCTCACACGTACGTTTAAGATGAGGTTCAAAATATATCCCATGTCACTCTGTTGTCAACTTTTCAAACATAAACACCATCTTCCACAAACACTTATAATTTTCCGCTTCTGTCTTCAAATGTTTCTTCACTGACCATAATAGTGCTTGTAATATGTTGCATATCCACCAGCACTGAAGGAATGCGTTTGGAATGAACACACCTGATGGAGGCCGTTTCCTCCCTAAGGCGCTATCGTGGATGAAAAGAAACAAGAAGAAGTATGCTTGCTAACGCCACGTGACTTGTTGGCCTCGATTTTCAGTGGACATTGCTGCTATGCTGAAGGATCATATCTTATGTTGCAGACATTTTCGATCTTACAAACTGCTTCTGCCTTCTGTTACATCAGGTGTTGGCCTCAATTATGTCCAGATCTGCTTTGCTATCGACGAGGGCAGAATGTATTAAAACTAACGTTATCTGTATAGGAACTTGTCAGCGAAGTATTTAAATATTGATTAAAGCCATTACGCCACGATGCATGTAACTGCACAAAACATATCAAAGTCTTCTTATTCAGCAAACGGAAGATGCAGCTTAGATGCTTGTAAATGCCGGAGACAGCCAAGTTTCTCCAGAACTGCGGTCTTAGCTAGCAGATGGCTGCAGTCTGTACTCTTCTGCAGATTGTGGAACTTGTCGAACGTTCCGATGGTGAAATTGTCGTCTCTTATCCCGTTTTGTTTGTAACAGACAACGGTCCCGTCCTCGTCCAATTCCGTTGTCTGGTTCCTTCATGCATCCGTCGACGCTGTTGGCTGCAGAAGACAACGTCCCCAGACAGGTTGTTTACTGGAACAAACAAGTGTAACGGCCATGTTAATTACTGTATGAAATCCTTCCTCCCAGAACTCTCTCTCTGTCTCTCATGGCATTAGCACGAGGCGAGCTTATTTTATCAGGGAAAGGGAAGACAGAATATTATAAACAGAGCGAAAAAAAGGAGAAAGAACTTTTGGAAATGCAACATAACAGTTTAGTAGGATGTGAGGTTTTCGCGGCGGTGAGTGAGAAGATGTCTGTCTTCTGGCTTGTAGCGCCGTGTAGTCTCGTAGAAGTTTACCAACGTTTCAGAGGTCCTTGCTGCCTCCATCATCATCACCATCGCCATGACGATGGAGACAGCAAGGACTTCTGAAATGTTGGAAAACCTCTACCAGGGTTTTCTGTGCTGCAACCCAGAAGACAGACATCTGCATATAATATTTTAAGTTACATCACGTATACCTAATGACATTTTCGTACTAGATGCTTACAAGAATGTAAGATAATGCTTTCCACTGCTGGTGATATCGTGGTGGTGTTTTCAGCCAGAAAACACGGGTCATTTATTTCAGCACAAAGGAGTCTAACCTGTATAGTCGCGAAATGGGGGAAAGGAACGGGGTACGCCGAGCATTCAGATGCCTCCGTCATCACAACTGTGGTGATGAGTGACACCAGTGCTCGTTGTATTTGCACCCACAGTTTGCTATCGAAGGCCAAGACCGCCTCCTTACTCATCTTCCAATCTCATTCCACGCTATATAACCTCTGCTGTGGCAAAGCGTCCTTAATTAACCTAAGAATCGATCGAATTTATGTTCATGCAAAACAAACGGGAGTTGAAGTGTAGCTCGCCGCGTTAAACTGTTATCTCACATCACAGTGATTCCGTCACAGAATGACAACCGAAGGTGCTCATTAGCAGAGCAGATTTCCACAGAGCCCCGTTACTCTGTGCGCGACACATACCACGCAATGTAAGTAGGCTGTTTTCTAGCGGTGTTCAATGTCTCACCTACAGCGTGCCCAACCAGAACGCAATCGGTCTCTTCCACTCCGGTTGAATCCCAGGTGCCAATATGTCTACCTGGTTTTTCTTAGTAACACTCTGAAAATTCTAGGGTTTTAAGATTGAACGGTTAGGCTGTTTAAAGACGGCGTTTCAGTTACAGAAGTTATGCACGTAAAGCGCATAGTGAGATGGGGCGGCACTAATAGACGTCAAAGGTTTCTTCAGGACTTGGATGCAGGGTGAGATCGAACGTCGCCACTCCTGTTATGTATTCTGGGAGTCCCGGGTTTGATGCTCAGCCCGGAAGTCGTGAGGTCTGCTATGCTAACCGGCTTGAACTTTTCTGTGCAAAGTTGTCTTTAGTAAATAGTGCCGTATATGGCTGTTTATCTTCTTTTATTTGTGTCATTCCCCACACTACGTAAGTGTCAAAATGTAATAGAACGAAAGCCGAAGAATTTAATAATCTGATGACACTTTATTACTTTCGTGCCGAAAGCTGCTACTCGTAGCGAATATCCTCCTTTTCTGTCGGGAAGTGTACTTCACGCTTAATTTTTCCTCAGATTTTCTCTGTCGTGGGCGTATCCCACACTCCTAACTTTCCACAGCAGTCATAGTTGGCAGAAAGCATTTCTCTCCACAAGTTTTTTTCCTGCATGTTTGTGGTAAGCACTTCAACCCCAGAAAAGGAAGCTGGAGGTAGTTTCTCACGGCGTCGATGATGTCGATTGTGGTCTTCTGGGTTGTGACGCCGTATAATCTTCCTGAAGATGTACGAGATACATCCCTCCGAAACCTTGGTTTTACCCATAAGACAACTTGGCGTCACAACTCAGAAACCACCGCATCTGCGACGCTTTTTCAATTACCCAATTTATTTTTTTAAAAACGTTAATAGAGGAGTGGCAGTTGGTGAATTTTCCTTTGCCAAAATTGTTCTCAGTATTCAACTATTTATTTACAGTATCATATCTTGACATGCATTTTCTAATTAAAAAGTTTCCCTGTATTTTCAAAGTAATCTTTTAATTCTTATACTACACTGAAATCTGCTTCAGAATGAACACCTCTGATTTAAATTGGTTAAAATATTAAAACACGAGCATTTGTACAGAGCTTCTGTTTTTCTGCCAGGCATGTGAATGAATGTTGAAATATCGAAGGAAAATATCATCGTTTAGCCGTAATTCCGTTTAGCGACATGTGCGAATATGATCACAATGAGTGTTGAAACTTAGCAATTAAATATACTTAGAAATATTGTGATAGGCATTGTCCATTTTCTGAGGTATATTTGGTTGTATTCGATAATGCCCGACATAATATTTATGTAATGAATTACCCATTGTCACAGACCTTTAGAGACCGGCTCCGCAGTAACACACCGATGTCATTTACTGTTGTTAGTTTACGTCTCTCTTGCTCGACAGTGTTCACATTATGGCGGTACTTCATATGACGTCACATCCTCCTCCACAAATATTCTTCTATACTTGTGCATGATGTGATTACGCCCATGCACATAATTATTGCAGCAATGTAGACAGCGCCGGTAGTGGGAAGTTACAAAACCTGTCTTCGCAATTGATTTTATACAATTTCGATGTATTCTTCTAAGCAACCACATATAGTTTAGGGTTCTGTGTTTCTACTGACTTTTATATCATGATTTACTTTTCAACGTATTTTAAATGTCTTTCTAAAAGGAATTTAACATTTCCAAATATAAAATGTTAAAACAACTTCCATACGTTTAATGATAGGCATGTAAAAGTAAGTCACATTGCATAAAGTTAAACGTCTGTAATAACTTATAATGTTCCAGAGAAAAGGATCCATAGGTCTCCATCTGCAAAACGCAGAGCGGTGACAAAATGGGCGTAAGGATAAGCTACTGCTTTAATCCATGTCAGGTCCTGTAGTCTCAGCCAGTATGAATTGACAAAATTAACCAGAAACTGGAACTTAATTTCTGCCCTTAACAACATTTCGATACAAGGAAGACTGAAGGTACCGCCGATATTCGATTATAAGATGGCTGTCCTCACCAATGCCCCTCATTGTGTAGTCTGGGAGGTATTGACGGATACGTCTCGAGTCACAAAATTACCGTAATGCTCTGACGGCGTAGACGTTGTTATGATGATATGAATAGCTAAAATTATGTCTCCATGGAGACTGGGTCCACTTTGTTCGGGCAGATTCCTTACCGTCTGCCAACTGTTGCGTAAATGATTAGCTAAGTCACTTCCACGCACCCCGCTGAAATAGTCTTGCATGATAATAGTCTTCTGTCTCCTTCTCTTTCCGATGTCGTCTTCTTAAATTACGTATTCCTTTTATTCTCATCACGAAGTTGAGTCAACAAAGTTTCCGTTTCTTTCCCAAGACTGTAACCGTCTAGTAATCTCCCTAATAGTAGTTCGTGTCTTAGTCTTCCTACAGGGCGGTAGTCAAGATGTTCTTTTAGGTGTACGTCTTTCGTCCATTAGGAACTATACGCCAAAGTAGAATAACCATCACTGATAAATCATAAAGAATATCTCACCACGATTATTCGCCTGGTCCAGTGGTGATTTTCTGTTTTAGTCTCTGTCCTCTCGTAGGAAAGAAAGAAGTTTATAAGATAACCATGTGGTCTGTTGACAACTGGGGAGACCGAGACAATCTCAGGCGGGATCTATGGGAGATAGGAGTTGAAAGAGGCTGGATTTTGTTGGCCCAGGACAGGGTCCGGTGGAAGGCTTTGGTTAATTCGGTGATGAACCTTCGGATTCGGTAAGCCATCAAGTTAGTTATGTGGTCTGTTGTGTGTGCGTTTTTCCTGTCTGTTCGTTCGCTCTTTCAACTTTTGAATCGGTCCATGTATTTTCATTAAACTTGGTATGCATGTATGTATTATCGTAGGACATCGCATCTCTGACCATTGTCTGTAG